CATTCAAAACTGCAACATCAGATGAAGATATCCACTATATCAGCAACTAAAACACCTAAATAACAATATCACAATATTTCCACGCAAATCCTTCATCGCCAAAGCAACAATCGACAACCAAAAAATGTCGAAAAGACAAAGATCCAAAGCTATGTTCCTAAATTTTCCCGATAACACAAATTAGGACAAAGCAAAGTTGCGTCCAAGAAACTCTCAAAATCAATGGCCTATTGCAATGCCCTATAAAACAAGCCGGCGTCATTGCTACTCTTAATTTTTCGAAAACAATAGTACTTCGCAGTTAGATAGTTTTCTAATGTTATTCATCGAGTGCACGTGCGCGAGGTGTTGCCGAGCTATGGGGGTCCGTAAATGAGCACCACTGCCGACGTGTGGCAGGCGGCCCGTTTGATCTCCGCGGGACCCTCATGGGGCCCACGGTCCCTGCTGCCCTCCTTCATCGTTACTTCTTGCCTCTTTCTTCACATTCTCCACGTTCGAACCATATACCCGTCCTTTTCCACGTCTTATCTCTTCTCTCTCCCCCGCTCTCCGGCCCTCTCGTTCTAACGCTTTCGCTTTTTTCTATATCCGTCCCTCTCTCATTTTTTCTCTAAAAATAAGCGTACATGTATGCACACGTCTTCGTCCCGACATCTCAGTTCTCTCTCTCCGTTTCATCGTCCTCGATCCTCCTCGTTTCTCGCCTTTACCCCGTTTTCTTTTTCCCTCTCGCAGACTATTTTTATTTATGAGACCCGATCCCTCATTCCCCCCTTCAGCCACCCTTGGATTCTCTCCCTCCGAAGGCGGCGGAGTACCTGACGGTTTGACTTTTAAAACTTCGGAACACCTGTACTGCTAATTCCTCCTTGTCTACCTGTATCACTCACGGAAACAAATTCTTGGCTCATGTCAACGGGGACCGTCGCGTTTGATCGCAGGCGATTTCTCGAGAACTCGAAACTCTACGGGTCGCGCGGGAGACACGCAGTATACGGAGCGTGCGCAGGAGTTCCTGTGATTTCATTTATTATTCAACCGCACAGGTTTCTAGATTTATGCGCCACCTTTTTTATGCGAGTCTCTTTCTCGCCTGGTAAATTATAACGTGTAGTTTTCTTGTGCGATCTTAACCCTTAACACTCGTGTGTCACGCTGGGGATGGCAATACAAATTTGTTATGGAACGTTGGAAATTGTTTGAAAAAGTACCAGATTTTAAGGGACTGTAAAAATTAAATCTTATTCGTAAGTTCTTAGCAATCTTAGTAATAAGAAATGAAATGAATATGAAACGTTAAATTCTGTCGCTGTGAATTATTTTAATTCATTTATGATAAAAGTAGTCAATCACATTGAAAATAAATCGAGTGCAAAGGGTTGAATTTAATAACACCGAATGAAATGTACTTTTGTGCTCTGAAATGTCGTTGTTATTATTTCTTTTGTTTGGCTATGTGAATATTTTTTGTTTGTTTTTGGCTTTCTGATACTTATAACAGGTTTGCTGTCTAATACTTCGTTTTGTGTTGTACCGACAAACTTTATTTACGCGATTCTCATTCCCGTAAAACGAACGCCAAATGAGCATCAGTATAATTATCAAAAACCGCTGACTCGATGAATCTAGTTATATTCAGAAAGATAATATTATTCGACAATTTTTAGTTTCCGTGAAAGTACATCCTTATAGGTTTTCATTTTTCTCGCCGATGATTTTTAGAATTTTCGCCAGCCGACCGGTTGGTAAAATGTCAATTTTAATGATCAATAATTTCAGTCGGTTATAAATCATATCCGACACTTCTAAGAACACTTTGACTTGCGCCGTTAGTTCTGCCACAGTAATTTCCCTCTTACCTCGATCTGTTAATCTATATTTACGACGACAACACGAAAAATTTGTTATAACTTTCTTCCTTGTAAACCGTTCCATTATAGATACTCCTTACCGTACAACATTTATTTACTGTTTTGAATATTATTCATATGATATTTCTATAAAAACATTCAGTTACGAAGGAAAATACGATTTTCTCAATATATTGCAATGTCGGCTTTGAAAAAATGGTAAGTTGAAATGGAACACTTGTGTGAAATCGTGTAAAAGTAGAAAATCCTTATTTCTACTAAATCAAAATTGCTAGCTGAGTATATTTAATTGTTAGCTGACATAAATAAGTTATAAATGTATATGATTTCACAAACAAAAGTCAGAAATAAATTTGTCGTCGTCTTTTTCAGCACAGCTGCGATCTAATTGCTCAGTTTTTATCTCATCTGCGATTCTAACTTGCCATACATCAATACGATCACGTGTAACCGGTTAAAATTATAAATAAAGCGCATAACAAGAAAACTCCTATTATCCCTGTGCTAAATTATTCGATTTTGCCACGTGCACCATAATTTATAAAAGAATTTAACCCTTTGCACTCCAGAGGCGCCTCTGATTCGCCAATTGACGTAGCCAAATAGTGAAGTTTGATATTTATCGTTAAACTTCGTACAACGCATCAATATGTGGAATGTTGATATAAAATAGCTCTGTTGTTAAATAATAATGATAAAAATAAATGTAAATAGTTCTGTAAAATAAAATGATCTTGAAGCTATTCAGTTTCAGAATTCGGATATCGAATACTTTGAAGATATGAATAATTAGAAAATAAGAAAACTGAAACCAGTCATTTTAACCGGTAGTTCTAGTGTTAATAAAGAAGAGAAGAATCTTC